AATATCCATTGTTCTTAGAAACCATGACAAACTTCCAATAGTTTCGTCCACGCAAGTATCGCGTAAATACATATAATTATTGTTAATTGCAGAAATTTCGGCTGAAACTATCATTTAAACTCTCTCTTCTACCTACCACTTTTCCGCTCGCCTGCTTATTACTTTCTGACCCGCGCCTGCTATTTTTCGATTTCTATACGTAAAAAAATCGAAATAATTGTTACACAACACTGCAAACCATCTGTTTCAAGTATAGCAATAAATAAATTAAGTTACAACACGAAATCACGTACTTGCAGGAAGAAAAACTGGCGCAATCGATATACTTAGCGCGTAATCGCTTCCTATTATTGACGCTTGCAATTAATAGAGAAAGTACCGAGATCGGAAAAATGGTTTTCATTGTTGCCCACCTCGCAGTGGCCTCGATCTAATCGACAACAAATTTTTCACCCGCAATTACTCGACCAATTAACAATGAAACAATTGCAATAACGGTACGTGTTTTATGCACTTATATACGCTCGCGATTATTTAGTGCAGGGCTTTTTTCTAACCCGAATGGCATTAAGCATCTATGATCGGTGAAAGGCTGCGCGTGAGATTATAAATTATTTATTGTTCGTACGAGATACGTGTCGTCATCCTAAATACCTTCCTCTTGAGTCGTTTTAATGACTTATAATTGGTATAATTATAAATAATCATAAATGCGCGCAATGTATATGGGCGAGGCGCGCTAACGTACAAGGAACTGAAGTGGGGTGTCTCAGATCGGCCCGGAAAAAATTTTTTCTTATAGAATGTGGCCTGTAGAATCCATAATTTCAAACAGTTCCAAGATTGGGCTACGAGTTCAAAAGTTACAGCCCTTTGAATTTTCTTTCGAAATTGGTTTCTAGTCCATAACTTTTGATTGAGAAGTCCGATTGAAAAAGTACGAATTGTTTTGGATTCTACGCACCAAAACTAATAAGAAAAAAGTGTTTTCCCGAGAAATTTTGGTGCAGTCGATTTTTGGGAAAAAAGGAAGGTTATACACTGCCTTTTTTGAGCCCCGAAAAAAAATTGTCTCAGATCGACCGGAAAAATTTTTTTCTTATAGAATGTGGCCTGTAGAATCCATAATTTCAAACAGTTCCGAGATTGGGCTACTAGTTCAAAAGTTACAGCCCTTTCAATTTTCTTTCGAAATTGGTTTCTAATCCATAACTTTTGATTGAGAAGTCCGATCGAAAAAGTACGAATTGTTTTGGATTCTACGCACCAAAATTAATAAGAAAAAGTGTTTTCTCGAGAAATTTTGGTGCAGTCGATTTTTGGTAAAAAAGGAAGGTTATACACTGCCTTTTTTTGAACCTCGAAGAAGAAATTGTCTCAGTTCGACCCGGAAAAAAATTTTCTTATAGAATGTGGCCTGTAGAATCCATAATTTCAAACAGTTCCAAGATTGGGCTACTAGTTCAAAAGTTACAGCCTTTTGAATTTCTTTTCGAAATTGGTTTCTAGTCTATAACTTTTGATTGAGNTCTCCCAAAATGTTTTTTTAGAGGCATGCTTTTCAATACCTTGAGGGAATGTCTACCATTATTCTTTTTCTGGGTGATATTCCATACACACAAGTTCTGAGAACTGAACGTTTTGGGGGTGAGTGTAATACCGGGGGGTCTGGGGGGTATGGAATACCCCCCGGCACACAGGAGGAATAGATGACCTTTTCCTGAGAATAGACTTGCTATAGTCTCTGATCATGACAGTTAAGTTTCGTAAGAGGACTATCAAATATGTTTTTTCTTGAGGGTATTCCATACCCCCCAGACCCCCCGGTATTAAACTGTCTCTCAAAATGTTTTTCAGAGCATGCTTTTCAATACCTTGTAGGGAATGTCTACCATTATACTTTTTCTGGGTGATATTCCATACACAAAAGTTCTGAGAACTGATCGTTTTGGAGGTGAGTGTAATACCGGGGGGTCTGGGGGGTATGGAATACCCCCCAGCACACAGGAGGAATAGATTACCTTTTCTTGAGAAGAGACTTGCTATAGTTTCTGATCTTGACAGTTAAGTTTCGTAAGAGGACTATCACATATCTTTTTTCCCGGGGGTATTCTATACCCCCCAGACCCCCTGATACTGAACCGTCTCCCAAAATGTTTTTTAGAGCATGCTTTTCAATACCTTGTAGGGAATGTCTACCATTATTCTTTTTCTGGGTGATATTCCATACACAAAAGTTCTGAGAACTGAACGTTTCGGTGGTGGTCTAATACCGGGGGCTCTGGGGGTATGGAATCCCCCCCAGCACACAGGAGGAATAGATTACCTTTTCCTGAGAAGAGACTTGCTATAGTCTCTGATCATGACAGTTAAGTTTCGTAAGAGGACTATCAAATATCTTTTTTCCTTGGGGTATTACATACCCCCCCAAACCCCCCGATACTGAACTGTCTCCCAAACTGTTTTTTAGAGCATGCTTTTCAATACCTTGTAGGGAATGTCTACCATTATTCTTTTTCTGGGTGATATTCCATACACAAAAGTTCTGAGAACTGAACGTTTTGGGGGTGAGTGTAATACCGGGGGGTCTGGGGGGTATGGAATACCCCCCAGCACACAGGAGGAATAGATTACCTTTTCCTGAGAAGAGTCTTGCTATAGTCTCTGCTCATGACAGTTAAGTTTCGTAAGAGGACTATCAAATATCTTTTTTCCTAGTGGTATTCCACACCCCCAGACCCCCGATAGCGTGGTGAACTGTCTCCCAAAAATGCTTTTAGAGCATTTACTTCAATACCTTGTGTGGGAATGTCACATTATTCTTTCTGGGTGATATTCCATACACAAAAGTTTCTAGAACTGAACTTTTGGTGTGAGTGAATACGGGGGGTCTGGGGTAGTGGAATACCCTCCACACACAGGAGAATAGATACCTTTTTCTGAGAAGAGATGCTATAGTTCTGATCTTGACCCAGTTAAGTTTCGTAAGAGACTATCACATATCTTTTTTCCCGGGGGTATTCTATACCCCCCAGACCCCCCTGATACTGAACCGTCTCCCCAAAATGTTTTAGAGCATGCTTTTCAATACCTTGTAGGGAATGTCTACCATTATTCTTTTTCTGGGTGATATTCCATACACACCAGTTCTGAGAACTGAACGTTTTGGGGGTGAGTGTAATACCGGGGGGTCTGGGGGGTATGGAATACCCCCCAGCACACAGGAGGAATAGATTACCTTTTCCTGAGAAGAGTCTTGCTATAGTCTCTGCTCATGACAGTTAAGTTTCGTAAGAGGACTATCAAATATCTTTTTTCCTAGTGGTATTCCACACCCCCCCCCAGACACCCCGATACTGAACTGTCTCCCAAAATGGTTTTTTAGAGCATACTTTTCAATACCTTGTAGGGAATGTCTACCATTATTCTTTTTCTGGGTGATATTCCATACACACCAGTTCTGAGAACTGAACGTTTTGGAGGCGAGTGTAATACCGGGGTATGACAATCCCCCCCAGACCCCCCGATACTGAACTGTCTCCCAAAATGTTTTTTAGAACATGCTTTTCAATACCTTGTAGGGAAAGTTTACCATTATTCTTTTTCTGGGCGATATTCCAATCACACAAGTTCTGAGAACTGAACGTTTTGGGGGCGAGTGTATTACCGGGGGGTCTAGGGGGTATGGAATACCCCAGCACACAGGAGGAATAGATTACTTTTTCCTGAGAAGAGACTTGCTATAGTCACTGATCTTGGCATTTAAGTTTCGTAAGAGGACCATCAAATATATTTTTTTCTGGGGGTGTTCCATACCCCAGACCCCCCGCTACTGAACTGTCTCCCAAAATGTTTTTAGAGCTTTTTAATACCTTGTAGGGAGTGTCTATCACTATTCCTTTTTTGGGAGATATTCCATACACTGAAGTGCTAAGAACTGAACGTTTTTGGGGAGAGTGTTACACCGTTGGGTCTGCGGACAGAAGGGAAATAGATTACCTTTTCCTGAGAAGTACCACTAGAGTTAAGTTTCGAAGGAGGTCCATCAAATCTCTCTTTTCCTGGGGGGTATTCCGTACCCCCAGACCCACCGGTTCTAAACTGTCCCTCAAAATGTTAAAAGAATTAAAGAGCTTTGCCTAGTGTACTGCTGGGGGGTAGTCGTTATCCCCAGATCGCGCGATGTTACATTCTCCCCCCAAAATGTCCAGCCCTTAAACTTTTCGTGCATGAAATATCGCCCAGAAAAAGAAAAATTGTTGACGAAGTAATCAAAAACAGATTTTTGAAAACGTTCAAGATTCTTCAAGAATTTTTGGAACATTCTTGCTTTTCATGGAATTGTTTCAACAATTTTTGGAGTATGCAAGATTCTTAGATGACTCTTCAAGGATAAAACAGAGGAAGTCCATGAATAAGTGCTCTAAAGAATTCTACGAAAACTTCTCCATGAAATTCTTTAGAGGGAAACCAGATTTTCTAGAAAATCTTCCAAAGATATTTCAAGCAAATCCTTAAGATTCTTTAATCAATGCACAACATGCAATATCCCCCGTGTTTAGGGAGCCACGGGTTTAAGATATCTCTGAAAGCATTGTCTTGTCTTGCTTCATACCTCGAAATTATAGTGCACCCCCTTTGAGCCCAACCTAATGTGTCAAAATGTTGGTGCAAATAGACAGTGAAGTAGCCAAGGGTAGGGGGTGGTCTGGGGTGTTTGTGAGGGACTGTTCGAGAGTCGCTTGCAGTCGCGTTACCTTTAAACTTGGCGATCTCGATCAATAGTTGGGACACCGCAAGGATCTCGATTAGGCCCCTTACTGTTTCACAATTTAATTTGTGAAACAATAAAATTATGCAAAATCGTAAGGAAGACACGTGCTCGATTTAGACGACCAATTAAGGTTAAAGCTGTAAACTTTCTCATCAAAACAATTGACGTGTCGTACGCTCGCATGTAATTATGAATGAAAGTACCGGTTAATGAAAAAATTACTTACAATTAGCGGAATGTGGTTGAATAAGTAGCAGACGGTTAGGATCGGATACATCGTATACAATCCGGTTCCACTTTCCTCTTCATCCTGTAAAGGCTTTTTCAGACACGGTCGTTTACTGTTTGTTGAACTCACGGTCATCGAAATGTTCGAAAGATCACTGTTCCACATCGGTTCGCGATTTTGCACTTGACTATCGTAACTAACGTCGAAATTGTGCGGAAGTCGCTGTATTGTGTACGTGTCGTAATAGTTCTTGGTCAAATTTTCGTTGACCGATGCGGTCAGGGAGAGGCTCAGCTCGCTTAGGTCGGACGTCGACTTTTTCAGATAGTCGAAGCCCTGGTGGCGCATTTTGAGGTGATTGAAGCAGATGAAGATGAAAGCGGTTAGTGAGACCATGGCGAGGAAGATGTGAAGCACGATGATGAAGATGTTAAATTTGACGTCGAGGTCGAACGGCATGAATTTGCACGCGACGTCGCTGACGCTGGGCTGAAGGTTGAAGCTGATGTTCTTCTTGTCCTCTTGGGCCAAGATGGAGGCGACGCCGACGCACGCGCACAGTGTCGTGAGGCAGAAAAGGTGATAAATGACGTGCGTCGCTGTCAGATACATCTGCAAGCTCTGCTGCTTCCTGTAAAGCCTTACGGTGAAAAGCGCAATGACTGCCAGGGTTGTCAGCGAGCTGGCCTGGAAGGTGTGGATCGAGTTGAAGATCCACACCACCGCCTTGCAGTAGTCCGCCGGAATGCTACTATTCTTCACGATTATCAAGGCGGTGTACGCCAAAATCGCGAGGTTCCTCAAAATGCTCTGCACCAAAACGGCCACGATGGCAATGTCGTACGAGCTCCACTTCTTCCGATTCTTGTGGAAGATCGCGACGGTCCATATCAGCAAGATCGTCACGATCGGCACGCCGATTATCGTCGCCAGCTGCTCGTTCGAGTACTGAAGCATCATAACCTGCAACAAGCGCATGGAATATTAACGGGTCCCGATTCAGATCCCTGCGGGTCACGGTTGCAAAAACAATAACACGTAATTCATCCAATTATTTTAAACCAGTTTGCGTTCGGCTTATGTTACTTTTACTTTTTTTTTATTAAAGAGAGAATTCACTTTCACAACCGCACGCCCCGTGAAAATATTGCCAAACGTGTATATGTAGAAAATTGTTGTTGTTGAAATTAAATCGAATCTTGTTGTATAATCCAACACTTGTGGTAATTAGAAAACTCGCTCGTCGTTCAAATTTTCATTTCTGTGATTATCATACAGTTGTTTTCGGCAGAAAAGACATTTTCACATGGAGATTGGAACCGGAAATTGAGGCCTGAACACCGAAACCCCCTAGCATGTAAGCCCATAGTACAGTGTATCTATTTTATTGCAATTTCAGAGCCCTCTGGTCGTATATTCCAAAGCTTCCCTAGACAACGTTTGCAGACTCCTCTAGAACCTACCCATCTAGGAGTTTCTGAAAAGCTCCTAAGGTTCAAGAACCTGTCTGAGACTACTTCTAGATCCCTTGGAAGGTTTTTGGATTCACTAGCTTTCAAAAGATTAAGATGGTAATCAGTTTATAGAGACTCGCCTTTTTAGGATCATTCCAGAGTGCTATATGCACTTTCCAGGGCTCTGTAACTAATTTCAAGAGTTGCCTAACCCGAGAAAGGACCCAGAAAGCATTGGAAAGGGTCTCAAAAAGCCTAACGAGCGAGAGTCTTGCGCACCACTAGACCCAGGAAAGATTTAAAAGCATTTAGAAAACTCCTGGGAACTCTTCTTGACTGTCGGTGATACCTATGGACCTTTTCAAATGAGAGACCACGCCCCCAGATCCCCCTGGCTACATTCTTCTCCAAAGCTTTTAGTGTCCTTAGCACTTACAGCACCTTCATTGTTGTTCACTGCTCTGATGAGCTCTGATGTTACTTATCAAGATCATCTTCTCTCCTTTTTCTGGTGTTTATGACACTAAATGCATTGGGGATGAGTATGGAATACACTACATGAAAAAACGGTCTATCTTTTCCTACAACTAGCATAAGATAGTCGTGTACGGGGGGGGGGGGGTCTATTCCAGATTCCAGATTCGATGGTAATTTATGTAAAATTGTCACGGCAGTCCTTGGGGCTGAATGTTTTGAATGAAAAAATAGTACTGGGGGATCTGGGGGTTATGGAATACCCTTTAATCTTTCCCTCTAGCGCACGAAAATGGAAAACTATCAATTCCATGCCCCTAGACCGCCCACTCCCCCCGGATTTGCTTACTTCCTCAAAATCTTTAGTGCTTACATCATAACTTTTAAAAATGGGCCATTGAACGTAACACCACAAGGCTGTGGGGTAGGAAATCCTCCTCAGGAAAAGAAGATTTGATGGTACGTTATGGAAAACTATCATATAGCCATACGATAGTTGAAAGAAATGGAATACCGTACCTTTTTTTCTTGTGGGGTATTCCATACTCCCCAGACCCCCCAGTTCTACATGTCTTCCAAATTGTTCCATACCCTCAGCACTTACCCTGTCTCCCGAATGCAACAGTACGAGTCTGCAGGGCATGAAATACTCGTCAGGAAAAGAAGATTCGATGGTCCCTTATGGAAAACTATCACTGAATCTTTTTTTTCATGGAAGGGGAGGGGGGTTCACGCCCTCCAGACCCCACGATTCTACAGTTCTTCCAAATGTTTAATTCCCTCAGCACTTCCACCATAATTTTGAACAAGGGGCTACCCCACAGTCCCCCACAATCTGCTTACTTCTTCAGAATGGTTCTAGAAGGTTCTCAAAAAGCTAAACGAGCAAGGAGTCTTATAGGCACTTCCTCTCAAAAACCCATAAAAGCCCTAAAACGCTCAACTTTTAAGGATTCTTGAGCAGTCTAGCCCTCGTAATGATTTTAAAGCATTTAGAAAACCCTTGGAGAATCTTATTGACTGTCGGCGATGCCTAAGGGTCTTCTCAAATGGGAGACCACACCCCAGATCCCCGGGACTACATTCTTCTCCAAAGCTTTTAGTGTCCTTAGCACTTACACATGGAAAACTATCACGAGAATCCTTATGGCTGAATGTTTTGAGAGTGGATATAGTCCAGGGGATCTGGGGGGTATTGAATACCCCCGCAATTTCTTTTAGCGTACGATAATCTTATGATAGTCGCAACAAAAGGAACAAGGAGGAGACCTTTTATAAATACTCATCAGGAAAAGGAGATTCGAAGGTCCTTAATGAAAAACTATCGCGGGAATCCTTAGGGGTGAACGTTTTGAAAGAGAAAGTAGCGCCGGGGGTCCCTCTAGCGCGCGAAAATCTTATGCCAGTGGCAAGAAAAGGAAGGCCGAATCTTCTTTTTTTCCTAGTGGGTATTCCGTACCTTCCAGACTCCCCGGTTCTATATTTCTTCCAAAATCCTTAATTCCCCCTCGCTAATCTTTTGGACAAGGAACAACGGAACGTAACAGTGGGTTCCTGTAGGGTATAAAATACTTGTCAGGAAAAGAAGATCTGGTTGTCCCGTTCTTCCATAACCCCCAATCCCCCCGGATCTGCTTACTTCCCCAAAATATTTTGAGCTTAAATCATAACTTTTGGGAAAGGACTATTGAACATAATACCACAAGCGTGTGGGGTAGGGAATACTCCTTGGGAAAAGAAGATCTGGTGGTCTTCTAGAGAAAACTTGAGTCCTTAGGGCTGAATGTAGCACTGAGGGATCTGAGGGCTATTGAATACCCCCAGCCATTCCACCTAGGGCACGAAAATCTTATGATAGGTGGTTGTTAGAAAAGGAACACCAAAATTTTTTTTCCTGGGGGCTACTCGATACCCCCCCCCCCCAAAGCTCCCCGGTTCGGCATTTCTTCCAAAACGTGTAATTCCCTCAACATTTGCACTAAGTTTTGGGCAAGGAACTACTGAACTAACAGTAGAAGCCTGAAGGGTACAAAAATACTTGTCAGGAGAAGAAAATTCAATGGTTCTGGTCTTCCATAGCCCCAGTCCCCCGGATCAGCTTGCTTCGCCAAAATGTTTAGTGCTTACATCATACTTTACAGGAGAGAGGCACTGGCCACAGGCCTGTGGGGTAGAAAATACCCTTTGGCAAAAGAATCAATGGGTCTTTTTTGAAAGACTATCACGAGTCATTAGGGTTAAATGTTTTAAGAAAGAACGTGGCACCGGGGGGTCTGGGGGGTATTCCCCAGCCTCTCCCTCTACCGTACGAGAATCTTTATGAAAGTTGTAAGCGAAGGAACACCAAAACCTTTTATTTCCTAGGGGTATTCCATACCCCCGGCAGTGGCGGATTAAGGGTGTATGAGGCCTGGGGCGATTTTCAGAGTGGGGCCCCACCTGCCCTACTTTTCTAACCCATGAATCACAACAAACGAATAGAAAAATGCTATGAATGTGAATAAGGTTTTATTGATACATAACAAATGATGAAATCTTAAAATTTATGTTTCCGCGCTTTTATTCTGCTGAATACCGACCCGACGCCGTCGCCGACCGCCGCTCGCCTCCCCACCGGCCACCCCGGCCAGCCAATACTAGGTCTTTTTTTTTCTCTCTTTGCAGTTGCAACGCATCGGGGGCCTACTCTAGTGACGGGGCTCGGGGCGGACCGCCCCTGCCGCCCCCCCCCTTAGTCCGCCACTGATTTCACCCCCAAGGCACGCCGCTAACGGTACTTTAGGTAGAATAACATCAGTACACACGGCGACACCGTATAGGCACACTTTCGTATTCATATTAGGGGCCTAAATGCCATAATTCCGCTTAAAAACGTATCTAAAATCGGGTCTGGCAACAAGGCGCATCGTTTTCAGCGGGGTCGAATTAATCTAGACCCCCCCCCCCCCTGTTGCCTGTTTGTAAAGCACAAAACGCCGTTAGACATGATTTAGAGAGCCTTTTTCAGAAATGTCTCCCTGACCAGTAATTTGTTGCCTACAGTCCCGAACTTATACTTAATTTATAAGTTCGTGGCTACAGTAGTGGTCCCAAAATTGCATCGATTAGAGAAAAAGAAAGTTTGATATTAAAATTTATAATTAAGAAGTTTATGTGGCATACGACTCTTCCAAATACCTATACCTATATGGAACATGTGCGTGAGAAAAAAATACCATACCTAGTTATATTTAAGAAGTTTGATATATTGGTCCAACTGGCCACTGGAATTTAAAAATTGACAAGTATAAGAATCGGACAAACAGTTATTTTGTAGACCTACGATAAATAAGGCTGTTTGCAAGATATCCGGCACGTTTCGACACCCAGGCTAATAGCCTACTTAACTTACCCACATTGAGAAAAAAAACTTAGAGAAACTTAGATTTAAACAAAAATCGTATAGGTATGTAAATAGAGTAGACCCGCAAGTAATTTTTTTCTAGAATAAATAAATACACAGAGTAAGACGTGCACACCGTTCTCGATGTGACCTAATCGGAGATAAAATGGCTGCTGCATCAATATTGATCCAACGCACCTGTCCGCCAGCACTTACCTGATAACTGCTCTCGGCTACCGTCCGCACTACATTCCACGGTTGTTTAATATCTTTAGAAGACGAAGTATTCAAATATGCGTAGGCGAAATCAAACACTACTTTTCCAATTCAATATTTATGAGCGACTTCGTTAGTAAAGTTTATTTAGTGACCAAAATGAGCGGCCGATTTACCGCGTAAATATTTCCAAATCGTGTATTCTATTCGACGAGCTTGTATAAAGCGAAAGTTTATCATTTCTAGTTTTACTCCTACGAGCATATAAAAATCCCCGATTTTGATACCTGATTGAGGAAAAATTGAAATTAAATACTTATAAGTAACTAGTAAGTAAATAAATATGCATGTAAAGTTTACTCTGTTGCTTGTACAGTTATACCAGCACATGCATAATGTTCCTATTCTGCCTCATATGGTTCAAAATATATTGAAAACCACAGTATACGTTCAGGAAACTACAACACAAATATTATTCTGTCATCAAACTCAAAAAACTGGGATTTATATGGCGTAACTGTGTAGATCTTTTGTGAATACACGTGCATTATACAAGTTATACATGTGTATGATACGCACTAAACTGAAATACTACTCACTAATTTGGTACCCCCACTACGCAAAAATAAAGAAAAATTGAAATTATTAAAATTTAAAGACACTGGTGTTTATCCGCAAAGAAGAATTTCCCAAGAAAGTTTGTTAACGGAGTTTGGCTTCCAGTCCTTAGAAGAAAGGAGATTTACGAGTACAATCAGCCTCGTCTTTCTGTTCAAGATTCTTCATCATCACATAGACTGTCCGAACCCTTCTATCACAACTATATTTCAACATTCCGAGTTATTCATCACGAAATCTTTTAACTTTTACGTATCCAACACCTAGAATAATCACCCAATACATACCATTTGCCGAAACTACAATTCTATTTCACACAGATGCGACATCTTTCATGGTCCTTTATCGTTTATTTCAAAACTTTCTAATCAGCAACATTAACCTTATTGTTACACTACCTACACTAACGTTATCATTTTATTTACAATTTAAACATTCACTTTCTTTGCAACAATGTGTCTATATTATTCAATATTTATAATTATCTTTTAAACTAGCTTTCTATAGAACATTTATTTAGGTTTTTTGTGAGCACGATGAACATGATCTTTCTTTGTCCTATTATTGGATTTTTTTTTCTGTTAGATAAATTAATACATTATTATTATATTATTATTATTACGAATCTCTAAACTTTCATAACAATCTAATTCATTTTTACTATTTACCTGCTTGACAAACATCGTCAACTATATGACTATTTTCAAGCATATGAGCGGAAGCGCTAGATTTATCCCAACGATTTTTTTTTTAAATGAGCCATTTTTAAGGATCTTTCTGTTTGCCCAATCAATATATACTTGATACAATCTTTACCACTTATTTTGTATATTCTCGATTTATCCTTCACACCTACGCTGTCCTTAGGATTGCCTAAAAGTTTTTGTATACTATCTACCATCTGAAGTTGTAACAATTTGTAAATTATTTTAAATAATAATAATCACAAAGAATGAAAGTCTTTGGTACAACCGAAAACCAAGAGGAGCACGGTTCAAAAAAAGGGCCCGATTCTACCAAACGGCCAAGGGACCGCGGCGAAATGGCCAAAAGCGAACGGCAAAAGGGCAGACGGTACTCCTCTTCTATTTAAAACATTTCCCTCTCTTGTTCTAATTTCGTTTTCATTTCCTTAATCTTTAGGTAAAATAAACAAAATTCTCTTATCTAGATGCGCACCTGCGACAATATCTGTTTACAATATTAATTAACTTTTAGCAATAAGCGCAACTCTCAAAATACTACACAAGAAGTCGTTGATCGTGTTCTTTACAGTTAAATGTTGCACATCCTCTTTCCTGTTCCACTCTATTGTATGTTATTGTCTATAAAACATCAAGTTAAGTAGCAACAAATTCTTCCACTACTGATGTAAGCTCCAGCCCAGAAGTAGCATATTTTTAATACCTACATTTTTAACCGTTAGCGCGTTGGCTTCACACGATTTCGGTAGAAATCTTTTTTATAACTCAGCCGGACCAAGCTTTGACAGTTTTAATTAATCTGGTTTTCAAATTATCAGATAAAATTAAATAGAGCGTAGACATAGGTTACAGTATTGCTATATGGAACTTCATGCTAACTTATAAAGCATTCCTGCCCTGTGTATTCTGAAACAAAATGAAATTCGGAAAAAAACCTCTATACATAAGGCGTCTTCAAATGAGCTACAAAGCATATGTTAATCGTACCTTAATCTCAGCAATTAATTGACGTTAACTGGACGCATAATTTCGCAAAGTACAAATTTTAATTAAGAATAATAAATCGCATAATTGCGTCAACCTCAACTTTAATTAAATCAAGTCCCTAAATTATGCCCCCAATACCTGCATGAATGCATTTATTTCGAGGCAATCAGACCACACGCAAGTTTCATAAAGGCTACGCGCAAATTATTATGTATGTAAGAAATTACTGCAGTACTGTGAGATTCGAACTTCCTTAACAATGTCAAACAATATTGCTCGTCTTTACTCACCGAGTTTCATTGACTTCTTACTAAGTAGCTACCAACCTTTTAATTAAATAATAGTAATATTATTTTTCTTCATTGTATCGCTACAGTTAACATTTATTTGAAATATCTTAACAAATAAGAAACCTCTTAGAAGAAACGTAATCGGTCATTCGTGCTTGGTGCCTCACAAATGACCACTCGTGCAAGGGTCTTTCTTTAAACGCCTCCTATGCTTATTCGCATAAACGTACGACTTAACAAAACCCCACAAGCAAAAGTCTACCTGAATCAGATCGCACGATCTTCGTGGTCAGTTCCCATTACCCCAACGTGAGATTGTCCTTCGACACGTAGCGTCGTCCTGCTGTAACATGTCCTTGGTGGCCATTTCATCTAATTCAGGCCAAAAGCAGGTGGTAATCATCGACCTATAGCGTTGACGGTGATGGCCTGGACAATATCGTTCTCAAAGAAATATGAGCCACTTTTATTTGTTGGTAGAGAGATGGTCATCGTCGTTGAAGATGATTTCTATGAAAATTAGTGTCTGTTCCCAACTGCCCCAGAGCCCATTCAGCGAACCCATTCGTTGTCTATGGATCAGATGAAATTTGTACGGGTGCAGGGCCAAACCACGACAAAAAATTTGCGAGAGGACGAGTTCTTGCGAGCAAAGCGAAATCGACTACCTCGGATTTTCCGGCACACTCTGACGGACAGCGGCGATGTTTTCGGCAGATTTTGCGTTTCATCGAGACGTACCGGTATCAGTTGATTTACTGAACCGATGGATTCAAATTTATCGGCCACACTGCGGAAAGACGATTATGGAGACCGTACAATGGGCGAAGTGAAGCGCGCGAAGGGTTGCCGGAAAAGAGCGTCCATTTTGATAAAACAATTTTATAATTTGCACGTAATTTGCACCTCTAAAAATCATTATGCGAGCCTCTCTGTAATTGAGCGAAAGGCTAGCTGAGGGCCCAGAACAAGAGGGACAATAAATAAATAAATAGACCTATCTCCGAGGACGATTCCGTTTCTTTATTTTTAAAATTGCAGATCCGGTTGGACTGCCGGTACAAAATTAGCGTCACAGACATTTTCGCTCTCTTTCAAAATGCCCCAGGCAGCCTAATTTACTCTTCATTCTTCCTATTTAAGCAAAAACCACTGTCTCTAACAAACCCTACGACACTTGAAATTCCTCTACGTGACCATGACTGTCAAAACACCTGCATCGATTATCTCGTACGTGACCTTGTTTGTCGAAAAACTAATTAATTCTTCTCCGATAACAACTTTTTATCAACATCTGACCAGATAAAACTTTAAACTCGCGTAACAATTTCGATTAAATGTTCCCTAAGTTACCCGTTTTAAATTTATCATACAAACTAAATACAACAAGTAGAATAAAATGAATTCCACACCAAATTTACAATAAGACACTAACATTAAAATGATAAATCGACAAATTTTTCCAGTTCTGTGTCTATATGAAATTTTGCTGACAGTCTGCTTGGGGTATTGAAATACTTTCGGAAATTATTCATTTCGAGTATTTAAAAATTGTTGTACAAGTATACATTTTAGACAGCGAACAAAGCTTAATTAGTTATGTTAGTTTTGTAAGTGTGGGTTAGGTTGAATTGACTCAACCCTTATTTAATTACTACTTGAATAAGATAAAGCCATCACATTAAAGAATCGAAATTCAACGTGACATTAAATGTTTGCATTTGTTACAGTCCTCAAGTTCGCCGAGAAGGGTAGCAGTTCCGGTCCTAGTGAAAGATGGTAAGCCATGTGCGGGTGGTTCCGGAAATCAAACATCAACCGCAACGTCCTCAGATGCTAGTCGCGCCCAACAATCCCCCGCAACCTGTCCGCCCCAACAGCAGTCGCAGTGTATGGCAAATGGAGGCTTAGCAATGGCTTATCGACAGCAAGGAAATTACCAGCAACAGTGCGGGACTTACTTACCTCTACAAGCGAGGGCATGGTAGTGAGATAGTGATAATTTGGACGATTTTCTAGAAAATTTTTATATTTAAATTTCTATAAACATTTGTGATTAAATCAAAGGGCACAAAACGCAATCGTTGAGAGAGAAGTTCGTGCAATTCGAAAAGAGCAAATTTCGACCGAATTTATAACAAATTAGGCAATGGTTCTTAAGATTAATGTTGATTTTCTTATTGTTAAAGTGAATAATGCAAAAGTGCAAGAGGAAACGGAAAAAGAGTCGATCTAGAAAGTGTTACCTAAAATTTTCATTGTAAAATTTTATTTGTCTCCTTATGAAATATTTTTCAAAATTCCCCACCCAATAATTGCTCTCTGCCGCTGATGCTTTTATTATGTACGCGTACTACTTGTGTAGATAAGTCAACCTGAATGCAGATGGTAGATCCCCCCCCCCCCCTCCCCCAGTGTAAATATTAGCAGTAGTTGTAAATTAGTATTATATTTAAAGATTTTCATAACTGTACAGTAGTCCTTGTAATTACGATAGCGATTACCTATGCACCCAGGTGTCATGTAAAACTGTGTTTCTAAAATTATCTACTCAATAAAATATTAAGAATTTATCTGATAAATACGTTTTGTTTTATTACAGGTTCAGTTGATACCACTGGAATGAAAAACTCAAAAAGTTTTGTTTCCATTGGTTGGCGTATCAGCTGTTTGTTAGTCATAATTGTTATCATACCGGTGTTGGGAATGACTGAAATTGACGACACGAAAGCATTTTGTGTGTTTATTGTTTATACTATTGCCTCCTTCCCTCCGTGGATCCCCGGTGCAACTTTCTCTACCAAAATCTTTACATCCCTCAACACTCTCCTGGCAGTTTTTGAGTAAGGCCATGGAATCTTCCTTTTTTGCACTTCTTTTCAGAACGCGCAACGCGATGCTCTCACGGTCCAACGCGTAGTCTCCCACGTCTTCGCAACACCCTGACACCTGGCGAACCTGGCTCAGCAGGATAGCCACGTAATTCTAGTTAATTTCGTCTTAAGTCGCGACTAAATTGTGAACAAATCTGCCCTATAATGAGCTATATTTTGTATCACCCAATTCTAACAAATTGATAAAATGTGAATTAAACCGCACTAGCGGATGTAACGGTTAGTTGCCAAATTTGACTGATTACCGTTAAATTTATCGAAATATGGTACCCCTTGTTACTTTTACTGATATAAAAAAATAGACTACATTGCATCCGTAATTATGAGTTATTTATATTCCTCCACACATCAAGATACTATACCCCTTTTCATAATTTGGGATCATGTAATATTCAAATAAATGCAAAAACTCTATGGACTCGGTTGCTTAAGAAAGATAAACATAGCGAAATCCTAATAATCTTATTTTACGACGCTTAATAAATTGGTGCAATTAATTGGGAAGAGGTTCTTAAACTAAACTCTAATATGATGAACAATCCAACTAATTCAAAATTAACCCGGCCGTACCGTTAGTTTACCGGCTGTCCCTACGACATTGATAAATGTCTAAATGACTCCTGTTATCACTGACAGATTGACATTAATCAAAAGTTCAATATAAAAATTGAATTATTTGACTCAGAAACTAAAGCACTCGCCACTCGGCCTCAAAGGCGCCTCGTACTTCAATATTTACTCGTCAGTAATGTGTCATTTTCCTGACTTCTATGTAAGTAACTATTACAGTAACTTATGCCGTGTCTTGTGCTGAGGTAGCATCCATCTCCATAGAAATCAGCTTGATTGGGGATTCCCCTAGGTCCAGGTTCATATTCGTGGTATATGAAGTTTACACGAAATGAATAGAAGTATGTAGATAAATTTTTCTTACGGTCCGGCCAGATTGAAAACATTCCCTTACTGGCTTTATTCTGCTTCAGCTTTCCTTAGGTCATGGTTTGTCTTTGTTGACAATGGATTAATTAGTATGTAGCAAATAACTTCGTTTCTTCCGCAATTATAATTTTAGCGAAAGACGTGTACTCTTAAAGCGATCGTTCCGCGTCTCTCCACACTTTTACACTAACTTCGCGCCCCCTTAACATTTCTCTTTTCTATACTGTCCGGTTTAAAAACCGAAACGCGTTTCAACCAACCAAAATCTATCATTCTTATGTAATTCGGTGCCGTGGTGCACGTTACGTTTTTTTTAGTTTTCCACGATACAGCAAATTTTAGAGAAACAGTGGTAAAAACCGAATGTCATTAGCATAGAAAAGTGTGTGTGGTAGAATTAGCATGGCCCACAAACTTGGGAGCAAACTTTGTTGAACTCTCACAGAGTTACTACAATCGAGTTTTCACCAGATAAACTTAATATTGTATACACATATTCCCCGAGTTACCTCTGAATTAAAAGTCTCAACGCTAATTTTTTGAAACGACAGTAGAAATCACCAGAGACCTCGTCGAATAATAATTGACCTTGTTTTATGGTGAAGGGGATTTTCCGATTGCGTAACTAAAGAGTGACCTTGGCAATGGACCATGGTGGTGGTCTAGGTACCGTAACTACGCCGTGACCTTAATTTAAGGTGTAATATCATAGCCTGGAAGTTCCCAGTGCCGTAACTAAGGCGTGACCTTGGTGAAGATATCAAAAGGTCACTTTTTCTTCGTAATCTTATTTAGCTTAATTCCAATTCACCATATCTTAATTTTTACCAATATCTGATGAATACTTCAGGAATGCCAAAAGGGTAACGCTACTTTTAAAAAATGATCAAAGTCCTCGTGTGAGATCGAAGGGACTTCAGCGCATTTTTGTGTGGCAGATCAGTGTTTTATTAGCCAATATTGACTTCACCATCAATAAGATCTTGCCGAAAGCTACCACGTTCACTTTGTCGGTACCATTTTCTCACTTACCGTGCACTCGCAATTCGCGTTTGAAGTTTTGACTCCACCATCAGTAAGATCTCGTCGGGGGTTACCATATTCCCTTTGTCGACACCCACTTCTGATCACCCGCAACAATTCGGATTTGAAGTTTCGACTGCACCATCAGTAAGATCTCGTCGGGGGTTACCACATTCCCTTTGTCGATACACAGTTCCGCGTCCCGTTCATTCGTAATTCACATTTTGGTAGATTTCGCTAAAATCCCGGCATAAAATCGTATTCAACTTTTGGGTACTTCACATAGCTCGACCTTCTATTAGTGACACGAGAAAGAGAGACCGCGATTCGCGCTGTAAGAAACTTTTGGGCGCCCAAAGTCGACTACCCCTCGAAGCGCGCCGCGCAAAAGGTGGTTTATTTCGCCCCTAGGAAAAAAAACAAAATTCCGCCACGCAGGAGTTGTGCGCGTTGACAAGATCTTCCCGACGACACCAATTTGAAAACAATCGGAGAAAAACTGTAGAAGAAGATAGATAAAAACTGAAAAATCTCCAGGTTAGTATAATACGCTCGGGGATGGCGTCCAGATGTCGTCGACTCCAAATCTTGTAGCCCCATCCCTAACGTTCTTAATTACACGGCCCCGATAGTTACATGTACACTCCTTGTCTTTTTACAAGCGTTTTTCTACGGGCGCGCATTTACTGCCAGCCAGCCAGCCAGCCAGCCAGCCAAAGTGAGATTAAAAGCTACTTTTTACAAAAAAATTTTTTGCAAAAATGCGCTAAAAATGATAAATTATGAACTTTTAAGAAATGATGAAAAATTAATAAAACTGGCAATACGCTAATGTTAAATCATGTGGAGAAAATTGAAAACTAACGAAAAATAGAATGGATTACTTTTACACCGTAATTGGGCACGTGGTTATTTTCAAGCGTATTCAAAAATAATAGGTTTAGGTAGATATTTGAAACGCGTTTCAAAATTTGTAAAAGTTTTCGAGTTTATTTATATAGGTCGATAATATCTTTTTATTATTTTATATTAATAATAATAATAATAATATTTATTATCCAAACAAGTAAATATATACTCAATAACAGGACAATATTCCAAAAAATTGCAAAATCAAAAGTACATGCCAGTAGTTTGGTAATTAATTTAAAAAAAACACTTCAAGATATTAATAAAGAAAATAAATTATAACTCTAATGATTGCAACAACCGACCCAAACCTTCATGAAAAACGTCTACTGGCGCGGATAAGTCATTAAATAATGAGCAGATTAAATGCACTGGAGATCTCTGAAGCACATTGGTTATTAATTTTAAGATACAGAAAGATTTTAATTGATCTTTTTTATCGTACTATAAAATTAAACTCGTTACAAGTTCTGAAACGATATTTCAAATATCTTCCTAAACTTAAAACCTATTGTTTTTCGAATACGTTTGGAAAAAACCGCGTTCCTAATTATGCTGTAATAGTTATTTGTACTATTTGTACTAGTTTTGAAAGTGATACTTTTTTTTCATTAATTTGCAGTGTGATTAATGAGGGCGAATCGCTAAAAATGTCTAAAACACGTTCCCAAAAAACGCATATGACATTTTCGATATTATTAAGCGCCAGAGCAAAGCGAGGTAACCTTCATAGAGGAGTCAATGGTGTTCGTCTGTCCGTCCGTGAACACGATAACTGCCAAACGCTTAGACCGATTTGGTTCAAACTTTGCACAGTTGACCTATATCATATAGGTCAACTGTACCACATGTAACAAGCCTATTGAAAATGGGTCAAATCCAATGACCCCGTAGTAGGGTCAAACCGAGGTTCTCTGTCGTTTTTTTAGATCCGCTTTAGGGGTTTTTTGTACATTCTTTGGGCGTTAGTTTACCTAGGCAAACTACCAACAACTAAAAAAATTCTAGACAGTAATCACCTTCTTTGACAACACAAAAATGAACAAAAATGAGCAAGACAAGATGGAATTGTATACAACTAGCTCCAGAGCTACACCGAGTTGCAAAGTGAGGTTGTATTCTTTCATGTGTCCTACAATGCTCTAAATCTTCTGGAAAAGTGGTCACTCTATCATATCACAATAATTCATTGAATTGACAGTAGTCGCTCTTCTATTTAATTAACCCCTAGCGCATGCCAAGAGGTTTGAAGTAAATCATTAGATTCATAAGCATTGTGCTGTTACAAAAGAATTTATCATTCGAGTTGTGCCTACGTAGAGGTAAGTAGGTATAGGTACGCGCAACAGAACGCTATCATCTGAAGTTGAATACGGGGGTGCTAGTGATACCCCGTCCGTCGAGCAATATGAAATTGAACGGAACCTCGAAAAATCTGAAAGCTAAAGTAGAATAATTTGCTGAAATATCAAGCAGCAATCTAAGTACGTGCTCGTTGATGGTCATAACCTACAAGCTGTCAAAACTTAGTACAGAAATTCAGGCTCCAGCAATTAATTCTCTAATTCCAGCTGACACCTCCAACAATAGAACGTTTAAAGTCCAGTACGATAGTCCAGGGTCGTGTAAACACACGCTTAAGACCTGTCATCGCCGTTGACATCTATTGTTAAACATCTCCCGTAAACACAATCGGCCAGCATCAATATGAATCGCTCTGTTGACTTAGTTCTTATAAGAGAAACGTGATTGAACACGATGGACAATTTCGACGCACCTCCAACTATTTTACAAGTCATCCTCCAATGTGGGTGGTTATTGTTGCATGTTAACACTGGGTGGTATTGATCAGAGTTATGAATTAAGTCTTCTGATTTAAATAGCTGGTGGCATAATTAGTTGTTGGTATTAAGGAATTTTGTAATTGTCGTTCGGGCCGTGCCATTCTTCTCTTTATTTTCATAATTAAGGCGTGAGTTGGTAATTTTTTTTCATTGCAGCACGAACGCGAAGTGAATACCTTTTTCTATTATCTAGCACTTAACGCGCGGATTATATTGGGTTCGTGCTAATGGGTGTAATAGCTATTACGAAATGTTTAAAACATGAATTCAAAATTAGCAACTTTCAGTTTTTTTTCTTAATTTGAATTTATTCTCTAATGCCATTTCAACTGTATAGATACTTCGTTTCCCTTCAGTTATTGAGCGAGCAATAGAG